TCTCCCAAGTCACTTGTCTCTGTAAGTCGCATGAGTGTTGCCCTCAGTCATGGTCCATTATCCATGTCCCGTGCAGCCTCCCATGGGACTTCAACTGCTTGGCTTTTAGCATCATTGTGGTACTAGCAATTCGGTATGGCGTTCCACTTGTGTTGGCCCTGCTGACCTTCTTCATTTACACATTCACGGCCTTCTTCATCAGATTCTTGTCCTCTATCATCTGAGCTAGCTCTATCGTCTCCCTCAATCCCCGCGGCCTCACCAGTTGGAGTGATGCCCATATGTTGGGCTTAGACCCTTCATAAAATTTCCCTCCAATCTTGCTTCAAAAATCAGTCTCAATTGTCCTGACAATAGCTCCAATCTCTCCCTCTATTAAATGACAGTCTCCTCCTGAAAAGTATAGAATTGCTTGTGTAAGTTTCCTTCTCAAATTGCACAAAAACGTTCCAACAAACAATCTTTAAATTCCTCCCACGAATGGATCGAGTATCTAGTCTCCCTTCGCTAATACCAAGAAAGAGTTTTCCCTTCCAAAGATAACCCTGCCACCATAAGTTTCTCCTCCCCATCTAATCCATTCACCGCAAAGTATCGCTCCGCCCGATACACCCACCCATGTGTGTCTTCCCCCATGAAGATCGACATTTTCAACTTCCTAGCTCTAACCTCTCCAACCCAACTTCCTCTCCCTATCCAACCCTACTTCTCTCCTTCATTCCTCGTGCTCCTCCATACCTCTTGCATAATCTCTTCTCTAATCCACTCCTAGGAGGGGGTTCATGATGGTGAATGTTTTCCTCCTCATATTCCTCTCGTTCGATCAATTTTCCTTTAGGTTTTTCAAATTGAGTCGTCGGAGGGGTCTTGGATTGCATCTTACTGAGCCTCTTTATCATATCTTGAATTTTCTCTCGTGCTTTCAAATCGATCATCCATTCGGTTCTTCGTGATAGAAGACCTATTCACAATGGTGGTGAACCTTTCTTTCATCCCAAATCTGATTTGGCTGATATCATCCACTAATTTTTTTCTCCAATTGATCTGCTTCCTTAGTTGTCATTCTTCTCATAAATTTTTTATCACCAAAAGATGAAAGCAACCTTACGCTGTTGGACAAGCCAAACAACAGAAAATTTTGGAATTTCAGAGTTGACACTGCAGAAAATAACGGGGTGTGGTCACTCTATATGTTTTTATCCCATCGTTGCTTACCAGCTATGAGAATCGCGATTGTATCGCACGAGGCACGCCAAAATTCACCATCAGCACCTTGCAAGCTCTGATTCCCACAGTTCACTGCTTTCCTTCGTGTCGAAGCTGTGTGCAGCAATCATGGGGAAAAAACTGAAAGACCTAATCCCTCCCCACGTGACGATCCCAGACGAAAGGAGAAGAAATACGTGATCCCTTATCCGCCTTGCACGCGATTATACGCAAATCGGTAAGCCCTATGTCGCGATTATGGATCGCATGAGGAAACATACATGAGTTTCCCTGTACACCGAAATCATGTTGTGGATCTAACTTTGGCTCTCAATGCCTGATCGTTTTTCTTTGATTCCCAGAATTGACTGCTCTGATACCAATTTGACATGATCTGACGTCAAAACTGACACGTTTTTCGACATAAATTATGGAAAACACAAATATTTTCTTTAATAATCCAGACAACTCAACAAGAACACAAAAAAAGCACCTACAATTCGATAGGCTGATGAGATCCCCCAATCCTTAAATTTCGAGAGATAAGTAATGTCTCCCAAACCCTAAACCTAAGACTCGCAATCCAATATCATGCATAAACCTAACCCTAGACAAAACAAGCATATTTATATTGAATAATAATAATAATAATAATAATAATAATCTAAATAATCCTTAGGCGTACAAAAGACAAATTTGCCCTTCAGCTAGGTGCCAACGTAACAAGTTCATTTGGCTTGCAAAGCAACTAAAGCATGCTCAATAAAGTGTGTTGTTTTGACCAATACAATAAATCAAACTGAAAACTTTTAATTAATTAACTTGAGCTATTCTGAAAATTGAATGCCACTTACGTTATTAGAATAAACCTACGTTTAGAGCTTCAGGAAATAGAACAAAACAGAAAAATAGCCCTCAGAAATACCCCTTTGATAATTCCCAACCAATTAGGATTTTGCATCAAATTTTATGCAAGATAGATTGTAGCAACAAAAAAAAAATTAAACAAACATTGGATCTTACAATAGTAGGGCTATCCGATCAACCTCAAATGAACACAAGGCAATTTAATATCATATTTCAAGATTTATGCAAGCAAATACAGGCCAAAATCATCCAAACAGCTATTTTGAAACTCACATTCAATAATCGTCATAGTTTTATAATTTCCATGTCATGGAAGTGCTAATACATTGATCATGATTTGACTAATTCAAAGATCTTCCATCATCCCAAGAAAATTTCAATACAACTTTTAGTGATGATGGGGCACATCCTGTGTCTTCCAAATAATTGAATACCTATACTTCAGATAACGTTGATCAAATTTGAGAACATATATTATCAAACTCTACAGCCTTTCATTGGATAAATTACCAAAAATAACACTTGTTAAAAAAAAAATACACCTACTAACTTTTATCCATTCCCCAGGATGGCACAAAATAAGGTTCTCCTTTTCTTTTCCAAGGATTTCCATGGAGAAAGTTTGCACAAATTCTGTCTAAATAATAAATTCAAGTATCAGAAGCTTCTTCTGCAGGTTCTCCCATTGTTACAGTTTTTCACCCGTTAAATATTAGAGTGCAAGGACCAAAGTAGAAGGAAAGATGCGCCATAAAAACAAGGCAGCTTCCAGCACACAACAATACCATTAACAAACTTCAAAAAAGTAAGAACATAAAAAGTCTGTATTATAACCTAAAACCGAAGGAAATTAGGCTTTAAAGAATTCATATTTAAGGCTATTCTTTGTTTGATTCCTCCAACAGTTTATGGATTCTTTTGGAAGTGAAAAAATATGCATGCATCATAGACATAAGGCCAGTTCGCCAAGTGACTTGCACAAAAAAATGTCAAAAACAACAAGAAAAACTTACAATTTCACACTTTTCACGCTGAAGTAACTTCAACATTTCACCTACTAAACAAATAACATGAATTCACCCACCACTACTTTCAAATCAGTCATCTAAGCAACCTACTAGACCTATAGACATAAGAGTTCAAAAAGTTTGTTCTGATCAGTAGTGATCCTAGTTTTATTCATGAATTCAAAGATGCTATGTTACAATGAAAGACGCAATAAATAGCTAGAAGCGCAAATTTATGATACTCCAAAATAAGCTTCCAAAAAATAGACCTTTTTGCGTCTTTTAAAACATATAATAGAATTAAGAAGCCAAGTTTACACAAACTTACACCAATTACGCAGCATAAAGAGAAATCAAAATCACTTTCACAAAACTCCAAACTTCCGCATCCATTTACATGTTGAACAAAGTTCAACCAATGTATCATAAGGTTTAACATTGAGGGCAATGATTACAGGAGAAGTTTAATTTACAAAGATCAAGTCAAAGTTGTGGATTAAAGACAATATTCTCAAGAATATTGATTTCAAACATGAATAAAAAAGCAGATATAAATTCACCATCATAATAATAATGTAATCATAAATCAATAATTAGGTCACAAGCTAAATACCTGCTAGGGAATATGAAATCGAGTCATCCTCGTCATTATTAAGCAGTCTATAGCAAGTTCTAGTATACTCTATCATCATGATAGCTGCTAATAGAGTCCTATAGAGACATACTAGTGAATTTATTGCACATGGGTCTTATTTGTTATTTTGCTCCACCCAAGCTAGCTCCAAGCATAGATGAATTCAATATGGAGGGACTGGGACACATGCCCCCCACTAGCTCGCCCATTCTAATAAGTTACTAGATCAGGTGACATGTTTCACCCTTCATTCTCTTCATCTCATGACTTGGAATCAAAGTTTGTCAAAAATCAATATTTGAAGAGTTCAAATAGTTTAATGTTCATGCATCAAAGTTTCAGAAAAAAACATAAAATGACTCATTGACAACTTAATCTCGATGTTCTGTCAGTTGCTTCACGAGTACATTGACTCCTCTTCTCTCAGCCTCACTTTTTTTTACTTTGCAATGAACCAATTCTTTTTTCAAATCTCAACAATTTAAGCCTCTCCTTGAAAGTTTGTCAATGGAGTTTTGTCACTGATCTCTCATGCTTCCCTCTATAAATTTTGGAGCTAATTATAAAAGAAAACTCCAAATAAACTACCGCTTAATTATGTATTACCTGTGTTAGTCATTTAAATTTTTGTGATTAAATAAAAAATATGGTATTGATTGATATAAGGATGAATTTAAATATGTACAAAGATATTTTATAAGGATTCTGCTATTTTTATAGTGCTCCGACAGAAGAAATTTTCTAGATTCGGCCCCGGTGCCAATATCCCTATTAATCAAATATCTCAAAAACCATAAAATGCATCCCCTCAATCCTATTGTTGTGCTCTTATACCACTCAGAGCCACTTTAACTTCAGAACAACAAAATGCTACAAGCCTTCAAGCCAGTGGGACGCAGAACGTCATCAAATGCACCATGCAGCGGGGACCAGAAAAATTAAATCCTTTTCGAGAAGGCAAAAAAATTCTCAACGTATATATATATATATA